GAATTCCTTAGTAATTCGCACGAATACCGCGCACTATTCGTTCGGAAAAGTGTGCGAATATTTTTTTAAAAATATTTTTCAGCCTAAATTCCGTTCGGAATTCCTATCGATTTCTTATAGGAATCCACACGAAGCTTATTTGAAGAATTCCTTTGTAATTCGCACGAATACTGCATACTATTCGGTCGGAAAAGTGGGCGGATATTTTTTTAAACAAATTTTTCATCCAAAATTCCGTTCGGAATTCCTATCATTTTCTTATAGGAATCCACACGAAGTTTATATAAAGAATTCCTTAGTAATTCGCACGAATACCGCGCAATATTCGGTCGGAAAAGTAGGCGAATATATTTTTAAAAAAATTTTTCATCCAAATTTCCGTTCGGAATTCCCATCAATTTCTTATAGGAATCCTCACGAAGTTTATTTAAAGAATTCCTTAGTAATTCGCACGAATACTGTATACTATTCGGTCGGAAAAGTGGGCGGATATTTTATTAAACAAATTTTTCAGCCACAATTCCGTTCGGAATTCCCATCAATTTCTTATAGGAATCCACACAAAGTTTATTTAAAGAATTCCTTAGTAATTCGCACGAATACCATACGAATTTCGGTCGAAAATTTGGTCAAAATTTTTTTTTGTATTCATTTTTCTGAAAAAAGTTGCACGAATTCCTATTAAATTATGGACGAATTCTGTTTCAAATCGCCACACGGCGGTTTGCAGAATTCGACAGGAAATCTGGACGATATCTAAACGAATTCTTTTGGAAATCTGGACGAATTCCGAACGAATTCCAAACGAATTCCTTACGAATCATTTGCACCTGGGCTAGCATACAAAACACCTTAAATGTCAGGCGCAAATTTCATGTTGACTTGTGCAATCATCAAATAGTTCCAATTCAAAAATTAACCCTTAGAATATACCCCCTAAAGTAAAGACAACCCTCATTTTTAAGGTTAATAAAAATAATTTTCATTTGACAATTATTTTTGCAAAAAGTTGAACTAAGCTCCTAAAAATGATTACTCGGGGTTTTTTTTGTAGCTGACTACGAATCCGAGGTTAGTGTATAAAAATACAAAATATCAGATACAATATGGCGGCCGAAAAAATTAAAAGTTGAGCTAAGCTTCTGAAAATGATTAAATTTAAGCTCAGTTTGTTCTGCGGTCGATTACGTCAGAAACACAGATCTACAGTTTTTTTAGATACACTGAAAAAAATGTTGCCGAGAAATTCAACTACCATTGGGTAGTTGACTAGAAAGTAATTAAAATAATTACTTTTTTAGTTAATCTAATCATGTTCATGTAGTTAATGTAACTATTTTTAAGAAGTTAATAAGTAATAGTTAATTTTACGTAAATATGTAGTTAAAGTACAACTACAGGTCGGTAGTAAAATTAACTTTCTTAAGGTAGTAAAAGCAAGTAAAATTGTAGTCAACTCAAAATTTGAAGAGTAGTAAATCCAACTACTATTCACCAGTTAGGTATAAGGAAATCTTTAGAATTTTATATGATATTTTTTATAAGATTTGATGTGAGTTAATTATGAAGGAAATTGACAAAAATAATATGCCAGAAATATTATAGGAAATAATGTAGGAATTCACATAGATTTCAATGTAGAAACAACATCATAAATTCCTACATGAAATCATAGACCAAATCATGTCCGAATTTCATATATGTGACCTGGACAGTTAAAAGGGACCTTTTGTCCGAAAAAATCGATTTTTTATTGATTGGTGATTCTGATAGAGAAAACTTTTTTCTATCAGAATCACCAATCAATAAAAAATTAATTTTTTCGGACAAAAGGTCCCTTTTAACTGTCCAGGTCACATATGATTTTACATAGAATTCTATGTGGACCTAGGATTTCATAACGGTTTTTATAAAGGAACCTATATGAAATCATATATAGGATCCCATGTGGGGATTTTCAGTAGAGTGTACACATGATGTCATTATCCTTGGACTGCTGAAACCACTTAATCATAGCTCTATCTAAAATTATCTCTTTAGAACATTTGGTTGTTTTTCTACTTTTTGTTTTACTCGAATTTATTTTATTTTAAATAATAATTATTCTGTATTGCAGTTTAAAACATAAAAAATCGCTTATCTTATATTCACAAATTATGTTTTTATGCGTATTGCCTGCTTTCAACTTTTTAATGATCTCGGCTTGTTACAGTTATGTTAAAAAACTATTTTCTTAACTTCAATATAGTTTTTGATTTCGGCATTTTTAATCTGAATTTGTTTTCACAAATGCAGGGCACCAAATGCACACAAAACTTGGAAGTCAGTAGCACGACACTGACGCCAGGCATAACCCTACTGAAAATCCCTGTACAAGATCTTGTACAATTTCCTGTACAGGATCAGCAACTGAACTTGTACAAGTTCTGGCCAGTTCCTGTACAGGAAAATGCATACGAATTTGGAACAAGTTCATGTGTGAGATCTTGTACAAGATCTGGTGCAACATCTTGTACAAGAAAGATACTAGTACAAGAAAATGTACATGATCTTGTACAATTTCATGTATAAGTACTTGTACATGAACACGTCCATGTTCTTGCACATGTTAATTCATGTTTTTCTTTACTAAAAATTAAAAACTTCAAAGGCTGCGCAATAGTTTTTAGCATGTATGAGTTACGAATCTTAGTGGTTAAAAATTATCAAAATCTCAAATTTTATTAAAAAAAAAAATTTTACAACTATACATGTGCAAGAACATGAACGTGTTCATGTACAAGTACTTATACATGAAATTGTACAAGATCATGTACATTTTCTAGTACAAGTATCTTTCTTGTACAAGATCTTGCACCACATCTTGTACAAGATCTCACACATGAACTTGTTCCAAATTCGTATGCATTTTCCTGTACAGGAACTGGCCAGAACTTGTACAAGTTTAGTTGCTGATCCTGTACAGGAAATTGTACAAGATCTTATATAGGGATTTTCAGTAGGGAACACTGCCCTCCAACCACTTTACCACCTCTCCTTCAAGCTTTGTATTTTATCGACGTGAACTCGATCGACGATCTAGTGTATTCAGGACTAATTATTTAGCTTAGTCTTTTATTGAAAATAAAACAATAATTAATGGGACTATTTTTGATTTTTGATTTTTTATTTAAGTGTAATAACGAGATGTTTAATATAGCACACTGGTAAATTTTTCATTTTTAGTATCTAATTTTTTTTTCTTATTACATAATATATATTTAATGTTTTTGCTAATTAAGAGCGATAATATTATATATTAATATTAATAATAGTAATATTATATATCAATATTAATAATAGTAATATTATATTATTTTTATATTTACTGTTTTCTACAAAATTCTTTTTTTTTTGTTTGATATACTTAGCACGTCGTAAAATGTAACTACATATATTTAGGGGTGTTAAATAAATTGTTAATTTTGTAATTAATAACGTTATTGCTCAACACTTATATTTATCTGTAAAATTATATGTACTTACCCAGGTGCGAATTAGGGTCGGCAGCCAGAGTTGGTAGGTCGGGCCATGGACGGCACATCTACGGCTGCCAAGACGTCGGCAGCCAAAGTTGTCCCGACTTTGGTTACTACTTTCACCCAAAGTTGGGCCGACTGTGGCTACCAAGGTTTAAAATCCAGAATTTCCAATGGTCGGGCCGACTCTGGCCAAAGTCGGGCCGATGGTCGGTTAAACTGCGGCTGCCGAAGTTCAAAATTCAGAATTTCCAATGGTTAGGCCGACTCTGGCCAAAGTCGGGCCGACGGTCGGTTAAACTGCGGCTGCCGAAGTTCAAAATTCAGAATTTCCGATGGTTGGGCCGACTCTGGCCAAAGTCGGGCCGACGGTCGGTTAAACTGCGGCTGCCGAAGTTCAAAATTCAGAATTTCCAATGGTTGGGCCGACTCTGGCCATAGTCGGGCCTATGGTCAGTTAAACTGCGGCAGCCGGAGTTCAAAAATTAGAATTTCCAATGGTTGGGCCGACTCTGGCCAAAGTCGGGCCGCAGTTGGGCCGACCATCATATTCGTAAAGTAAATTTCTTTACATTCATGGCCAAAATAAAAATTTTTTGTGACATTTTATTTAACTAAAATGGATTAACTAAAAAATTACAAGGATTATCTGATTTACTTTTTCATCATGAATTACAAACTGGATTTTTCTGAAGTTGGAGCTTATGAAATCATTTTTGTCCTTAGACTTTCATGTAAGCGTGGCGTAATGGATAGCGTGTCAGACTTCGGTGCGTTAGGTTGCGGGTTCGTTCCTTGCGAGCGATAAATATTTTTAAAATGTATGTATGTATGTATAAGATTGTCTTAAGTGTTAATGTGTATGCAATAAATAAATGATGAATTTCAGACTATACCCAATATATGTTAATTATATAATTAATAATTTTTACATTTTTTCCAAAGGTCGGCCTAACTTTGGCAGCCATAGTTGGCCCGACTCTTTTAGCCATTGGTCGGTCCAACCATTTCTACCAAAGGTGGGCCAACAATGGTTACCAATGTGAAGCCGACCTTCATTGTTTGCCGACATGGTCGGCAAAACTTTGGCGTCCATGGATGGTCCGTCTTTGGTACCAATGGTCGGTCCAACTTTGTCAGCCATTGGTCGGTGGATGTTATCAATTCGCTAGTTCGGCCGACCATCGGCTGCCAAAGTCGGACCGAACATTCACATGGTTGGCCCGACCATGGCCCGACCGACAATTCGCACCTGGGTAGTTAATTTTTCTCAGTATTAAATTTATTAATTTTATGATTTTTGTTACTACTAAATTTTAATTTTTTTTTATATTGTATTATGTAATATTCCGTAGAGGGCTTTTTAGCCCTAGGAACTGCAAATGTTTAAATAAATAAGTAATTACAATTCATAAATATTAATTTTGTAGTTTTTCACCATAACCTTAAATATATTTATTGATCATACAAATTTTTTTCTAGAAAAGCGAAATTGATAATCGAAAACAAAACTTTTACGACAAACAAGTCATGAACCAACAACTTCTCCACTTTTATTTAAAAAAATTCTAATCATATTAAAACATGGAACCAAAGGAGGACAACAATTATCATCTTAAATTTGGGCAAGCACCAATGGCTTCATTTGAAGATTTCAATGACGAGGCAGATAATGTAAGTCAACAACTATGCCTTTTATTATTAACATAAACTTTTTTAAAACTGTTTGAATTTAAAGATGCTTTATTTAATTAATTAATGAAAGTTATTATAATGAATTTTTATGTGTTTTTATATAGAAAATTACGTAGATTTATATGGGAGTTGTTATATGAAATTGACATTGAAAATTGCCATAAGAATTCACATGGGTTTTCAAAACGAAGCATATATGATAACCCCTATGTAATTTTCTACATTAAATCGTGTTTTTAGTTTCCTATTTAATTTTATTCGGGATCCTATATGAATTCCTATAAAAATCTGGGATTTTATATAGTTTTTTATGAGAAAATTTTAAGGAATCCTATAGAGGATCCTACATGGGAATTTAAATATAAAAAATGTAAAAGAAATATGTGATAAATTTAATTTTATATAGAAATACAACTTAAAAATTTAAATGAAATATTATAATTAATTTAAAAAAATATTTAACTAATAGAAAATAAAAATATAGTTGAGGCATTCAATCTCAAAACGTTCCACTTTCAAAAGACAATCGATAGCAGAGCGATTCGATTTGTCTTAACATTTTCTTAATTTCCCACAATTTTATAAAGAAATTCCGTTTTAAAATATTAACCTCTTGATATCTAAAAACACCCTCACTTAAATTTTCTTGTAACTTACGTGAAAATAAAGCTTAATTTTTCTACTTTTCAATTCCCTGTGATTTATTATGGACATCTTTGAGGATTTTTGAATAACATAAATTAAAAATGTGTGTTTTTAAAAAATTTGGCACGCGAAGCATAAAGTTGAATATACAGCCTTTCTTAGAGACGAATTTCATTGTTTTGAAACAATAATAATAACATAAATTTTTTTTCTGATAATAATCATATTTAATTTAGAACAAAATAAATTTGAAGTATAATTTGAAAATTAATAATATATAAAAATCACTCTAAAGCACTTTATTAAAATAAACATGATTTTATATATCTCTTTTTAGAAAATTTTTATTCCCGTATAGGTTTTGGTTTCTCTCGTAATGAAAACGATAAAATTAGTCTGTGATGTAAACAAAAATTCTGTTACATCTGATGGCTAAGTTTTTTCTCTTTCAACCATTTTAAATCTCCAACATCATTGATTTTTGGTAAAATTTGTACCAAATATTTATTTACATCGTCTGTTACTTGCTTCAACTTTTTTTTGCCCGAAACCTTTTTTTCCGAAATCTATATGAAAAATACGAAAATAAGGTTTGGATAAATCGATTAATTGAGGGTTCCGATTAAATAACTCGACCGACACTCGAAGGCTCGGTCTAATGATAGTCAAGCACGTTCAAAAGTGAAAAAAAAATTTGTAAATTAAAATTTTTAAAGGTACTAAGATGTAGAGGACAAAAAGGCGCAACTTTCTTGTCTTTGACATTTTTTTGTAGGGTTATTATTTTTAATAATAATAAAGAAAAACTGAAATTTTTTTCATTCTCAATTTCATTGAAATTTAAAACATAAATCGTCCTATCTTGAACAAATCTTTATGTAATTAAATGATATCGAAAATCAATATGCATGTAAACAAAACCAAAACCTTCTGTTATATTTTCTAAAGTTTTATGTTAAATGGTTTAATATTTTACAGAAAACTTCTTTATATACTAAAAAACAAATCTCTCACTGGAAGTTCTTCCAATTCAAAAGTTCCCCGCATCCTTTTTGTCGCTGAAGTTGAGAAGCCGTAATTATTGACACGTCTCAATTTTTATTAAAAAATAATTAAACAATTAATTTTTTTTGAATTTTTTATTATTTTATCAGCTTATATGGACCCAAATACGTAGGTACACCAAGTTTCATTAAATTTCATAAAGATTTGTTCAAGATAGGACGATTTATGTATTAAATTTCAATGAATAATTCAGTAAATAAGCCAGTAAGTCGACACTATTTTATATAAACCGATTTGACCTAGCGTCTGTTCGGTTCTAGGAAGTTCTTTCTTCTTTCACTCTAGTCAGCGCTAGCTCGGATTAGTTTGATTTAAGTCAAGGCGCTTAATAATCGAACACAATTCAATTCGATCCGAGCTTTGTACAGCTCTAGTTGATATGGTACCTCTTGTTGTACCTTGTCTATCCGCAAATCCCACTGGGATTTACAATAGATGAACTTTGATTGGATGAAACATCTTTATGACGTCAGTTGAGAAAATGAATCTGAACCTCCTGGTCTAGAATAATCTTTATCTGAGATGTTCATAAGAAGGTTCGCCCCAGTGTATAGAATGTTGTTGAGAGAAATCCCTGAGCTGGTTGCCGATAGTCAATTAAAAACAACCCTTAATTTGGTTGTTGTGCTTTGTTCCCTGAGAATTTATAGATTGGTGATTATGAGTTTGTTAATTGAACACAAGCCATATGATTGAGTCACGAGAATGAGTACTTAGAAACATTTATAAATATTATATTCTAATATATTACTGTAAGTATATTTTATATCAGGAATAGCATTTTGTTTTACAGGTTGGAATTGGTCGAGTCACTATTACAACTACAAAAAGTTCCCTACAAACTTCAAGCACGCCCAGGATTGATATAAGTCGAGCTAGCAGCTCATCACATCACGAAGATAGCTGTAATTCGAGGGAATCATCACCAGAAAGAGAACTTTTAGCAGGTACTTACAGACAGTAATAAAATGCAAGCGTATGGTAAATAACAACATGTTTTAGTCGTTAAGTTTAAGTAAATGTAAAAATCAATATCGTGAATCAATCGTGAAACATTATTTTAAACATAAGTATTGCAAATTAATTTTAAATAACACATAATTTAAATCGATTATACGAAGCGATTCAGTAAATATTATTTAGCGACGAATAGGAATAGCACCTTTATTACAATTTGCGTTAATTCGAGAAGACTATGTAGAACTTGCGGACCATTCGTTTCAATTCAATTAACCACCTCGGCTGTTTTAAATGTTGATATATAATGTAATTAATTTTTAGGAGGTGAACCACCTGATGGATGCAAAATTCGATTAAATTACAAAGAAGATGATCAAGATTTAAGATCTTCTACAGAAGAATTGGATCTGCCAGATCCAATACATGAACAGGATTTTAAGAGAGAAGCTAAACGAAGTACGAAAAGACTAAAGGATGATAAACTTCATTCTGAATACTACATTTCAATGAAAGCTCAAGAAAGAGAGCGTAAAGATAGCAACTGCTCTGAAATAATTTTGCTAAATATAAGCGGAAGAACTTCAAGGTTGTCATCTGTTGGGAGTCAAGGGTCAGGACATTCTGGAAAAATGTCAGTGGCATCGAATGTGTCTTCAAGGTATTATTATATCAAAAAATATTTATATATTTGTTTTTTTACTGTTTGAAATGTTATAAAATCTAACTTAAATACCTTCTAACACCAGGTTCGAAGTACTTCTAGGTAGCTTTATAAAATCCTATTTGCTAACTATTTGTCAAAATTGATAACGAAAAAGCCCTTAAATAGGATTTTCTATAAATCCTAATCTGTTAAAATATTCTGAGCATTTATTTCAATTTAAGTTTTTTCCTTCTTCTTCAACAATTTTCATTAGTTGCTCAACTTTTATGGACTATAGCTGTCGGTTTTAAACTTACGGAAAACCCCTAATAGAATGAGTACCGCTTGAAGGGATGAACCTCCTTAATGTGTTAAAACTCGGTTTTGCGGTACTTTAACGATAACTGCCGTAACTGGCCGATAAAAGGTCCGCAGGTCTGCTTTATAGTAAAATATAGTTACTTTCTAAACACTTTAGTTGTAACTCAAAACTTACTAGAAAATATTGTTTCTTATTTGAAATTGAGTAGATCGATCGACAGTAGTAAAAATTTAATTCTTCAAAAGTTGTGTTCTTACTTTGCTGCATTGCATGCGCGTTAGACTAGTTGCTTGTAGTAAGCAGGAAAGAACAACTTTCTGCTGTATTTACATTAAAGTAAAGTGGCGCTTTTTTCGTAGGTGTTACACAAAATAATTTTTCAAATATATTAAGAAATTCAAAAATCATATTTTTCTAGACACCCTGATGATATCCAACCGTTAAAATTCTTTGAATATCCCTAGGATGTCGATAATAGGATATTCTGAATATTCTGATTTTATTTAATTTATTACGTTTATAATTCTTTTCCAATTATAACAAAATGAGTGGTTCAATAATTATTAGCAGAATTGTTATTAGCAGTTTTGAAATACTGTCTAGTGAAACAAGGTTTTAATTTTTAGGTCACCAAGTCCACATAAATGTCTATTAGAAACATCTTTTTGTGGACACAGCCCAACGCAGTTTAATAATATAGAACCAACCAAAATTGAATCAGAAGATATAGAAAAAATACTTTTAGAAAGAGAAGCTGATACAACTAAAGCTTTAATTCCAAGTGATATAAAAGTTCAAACTATGGGAGGAAAATTTAAGCCAGATCCACTTGATAAACCTAGAAGGCGTGGACGTGAGGAGCGAAAAGAATTTTTCAGAAGAGAAGTAGAAATTACAAAAAAAGTACTTGAAGAAGCTAATATAGAGGTAATTTAAGAACTTTTTTTAATTTTTGATTATACATAGATTTTACATACATCCATTTTAATCTTTGTGGTACAAAGTCACTGTGTTCATGGTTAAAAAAAACTTGTACAATATCGTGTACACGATCTTGTGAATGATCGTGCACATGTTCATTTACCAGGTCATGTACAAGAGCAGCAAGTGAACATATAAAAAGAATTGTAACAATGATCTTCTAGAAGAACATGTAAGTGTTTATTCACGGTAACTAAAGAAATCAAGTTCACGAGCCTATGCTCGTGTACATGTAGAAGATCGTGCGTAAGTTCATGTATATGATATTGTGTTAATTTTTTTATTTTTGCAAAATTTGTGTAAATTTTTAACATAAGTCATAAAAACTAATTGTCCATACATGCGAAAAATAACTGCGCAGCTATATAAGCCATAGAAAACTACTGTGCAGCCATTAAAGATTTTGATTATAAACTATAAGGGGAAACTCAAGATCTTGTACATGAACTTACGAACGATCTTTTACAAGTACACGAGCATTGACTCTTGAACTTGATTTCTTTAGTTACCATGAATGAACATATGCATGTTCTTGTATAAGATCGTTGTTCCAATTATTTTTACATGTTCACTCACGGAAAAAAATTTCTTGTAGAGAAAACACTACAAATTTCAGAAAAGACAATTCTATAAATTGTCATGTAGACTGTCGAGAAATAAATACAGAACTTAAATATGTATCTTTATGGTTACAATATGAGCAAAATATTTACCTTTAAGTGTGTTAAATTGTACAATATTCTGACGACGTTTTTTACTTTTAACCACGTTTTTGGCGTTTGGTCCACTGTGCGTTTCTGCAACACCATCTTGACCATGATTCTTGTTACACTATTTTCTTTCAAATTGAAAATTTTAATATGGGGTTGTTCACAAAATACGTAACGCTTCCAGGAGGGAGGGCGCTACGGCCCTGCCTAGCGGCCCACTGAGCTCGCGCGGCCAATCACCACGCGTAATTTTTAAATTTTAAGTTGCAATTTACGCAAAAATTTTAAAAACTGTAGAGGACTTTTCTTCTTATTTTTTCCGTACAATATGTACTCCCATGACTGTGACACCTTGTATTGGGATCTGACATTCGTACACATGCCATCTGGTGTGAAAAAATGTAACTAGTTTTGGATAACTATATGTGTCACTTGCAATTGTAGTTCCGCTGTCATTGTTAATTATTTTATCATTATGAATGAAGCTACATTTTTACCGCGTGAGAAATCTTCCTGCAGAATTAAGTGTTCTGTGAGAGGTTGTGGCAGTACTGTAGCGAAAAATTTAAGCGTAATTTTCCATAAATTTCCGAAACCAAAACAACGAGTAGTGGATGTGAAAAATACGTTCGATAATTTTGAAAAAGTCGATCAATTAAAGGCCTGGAAAAATGCTTTAAAAATAAACAGTATAAAGCCTTCTATGAGAGTATGTTCTCTGCATTTCAAAAGAAGTGATTACATTTTGCCATGTAAGTTTAAGATTTTTAAATTTGGAGGTTATATAATCTTTCATATTACCCGTGCATGTGAACATTTTGAAAGTTAATTTATCACTGTAAAAACGGATAAATTAATTTTTTTTCACTTCTTGTTAACAGACTTTCACAATGAAAAATGAAATACATACATTTATAAATTTTCATATAATTACATGAAATATAAAGGAAAATAAAATATTTTTCTTGCACATGTATCGCTGGATTTGAGAAAATAATTTGTATAAAAATAAGATTTCTTTTATATTATTATTCATGTTTGTAAATAGGAATGTAAATAGTAATTTTGTATTAAAAAAATTCACTTATACATTTATTAAATTAAGCAATATTTTTTAAACGATTTTAAAAACGATTTTTAAACATGCATCCCATGTTATTCCCATGTAAATTCACTAAAAGTGTTACCCAATTTACGCCATATTGCTTTAGGCCCCGCCCCCATGTCAGATCCCAATAGGGGACGTGTCAAGTCAATCAGCCCAGAGCTGTACCCAATATTCTAAGCAAGTAAAATAAACAAACAATAGGTCAATATAGTTGTAAACTAAAACCCTTTCATTTGCAAAATGACGTCATTACCTTGTCAGCTAACAGACACTAAATTCCAAAAAAAGCAAATATATTTATTAATTACTTTTAAAAAACGTTATAAAAATGATGAGTCACGATATATTTTAATGTTCTTGGGTTGCTGATTTCGAATCTGAAGTCAGATTTTTAAAATTTAAAGTTCCAATATTTAAGGTTCTAATATGACGGACGAATTATTTCGAAATTCATTGAATTCTTTTAAATTTTATAAATTACAGGAATATTCTCTCAATATCACAGGAATATTCCGCGCAATATCACAGAGAAATCCCCTAAATATTACATGGATTCTACGGGAATATTTCTTCAGTATCATACGAATATCACGCAAATGTCAGAGGAATATCACCGTGAAATGTTCCCATGACATGGGCGAAAAAGGCTAATTGATATAGTTTAGCTATGTGCCCGAAAACCCCCGAGTAATAAGTTTTAATCGAATCCAATAAATTTTAAAAAATACGGCCGCCATATTTGGTCCGCCATTTTGAATTTTGAAATTTTGATTTCCGGTTTGTAATCAGCGACCCAAAAAATATGTCATGACCCAACATTTATGCATCATTTTTAGAAAAGAAATTAATATGTATACTCACTTATTCACGAATACAGAATCTTTAAAGCGGTAGCATAATGACGTCATTTTGAATTTTCAATTCTGCCACGTTTCTTTTAAAAGAGTATTAGTTTACAAAGATTTTGATCTATTGCATGTTTATTTTTATTGATTAGAATTTTGGGCAGAGTTCTGGGTCGGTTGACGTAAAACGTCCCATATCAAATTTCCACTTAACATATAATTTAAATGTTCAGTAAATTTTCGTTGCTGTATAGGATGTAATCCATTTAAATGAATATTTTAGGTGCGCGTTATTCGAAAGGAATTACAAGAAGATACTCAAAAAGAAAACAGTGAAAATGAATTATTAAAAACAACTGGAGATTCATATAGTTCAATGCATAATCTTCATACTATGAGAAGAGGTACAAGTGGCTCAATAAGGGATTCTGATGTTGACTCTAAAGACACAAAAAAGAACAGTTTTGTTTCTTTATTCAAGGTACAGTTAATTTAAGTGAAAGATAAAAATTATTTCTCCAAATTTTTATTTTGCTTCCTGATATTGGAAAAGTCTTAGAACAATACAACTATTCATCTTGCAAGAATTTAAAGGTAAATGTCCCGATTTGAGGAGGTGTACTAATTTGGGTATAATTCCGTGTAAAAGTGCAAATTAACACAAACATTACTTACAATGTTGAAAATTTCTTCATTACTCCCCTACTAGAAAAACCCACATGAAAGTCCACATGAAAACCTATATTTGATTTCATGTGAAAATCCATAAACGTTACTGTATATTAAAGCTACTGGTATTTTAAACAGGATTTGGTGTAAGAAATCGTATGAAATCCCATATGGGTTTCCATGTGTCATCCCACATGGGATCCTATATAGAATCCCCTATAGGAGTAACAGATTTGACGTTTTGAAAAATACATTTTTTTATATCTCGAAAACGGTTAGAGATACACACAAAATATGACAAAATTTTGTGGTTATTTTATAAATTAAAAATATTTTCTACTAGTAAATTAAAATATCAGAAAGTTAACTTTCAAATTTTGAAATATTTTAATACTTAAAGATTTTTTTATTTAAATAACAAATTCCATGTGGGATTCAAGATATTTCTTACACCAAATCCTGCCTAAAATTCCGATGAGATTTTATATGAGAACCTTTATAGATTCTCACATGGAATCCAATATAGACTTCCAGGTGGGTTTTTCTAGGAGTCCCTACATCGGTCGACGTTTTAAAATCATCCGTGTCCGCACAGAAAATTGAATAATGTGAATTAAATAATGAATTAAATTCCTCAAATATTTTCTCCACTTATAAATCTAATATATATTAAGATATCAGTAACCCATGCTTTACCTTATATTTTTTGTAATACCTATTACAACAATCTTCTTGACAAATTAAAATGTTCTCTTTATGGTGAAATTATAATTTACTGAATATTAGAGTAGAGTGGGGCGAGATCACTATTTGTCTTTATTTTCGTATTCTATGACGTAGAAATTTGTCGTTTCACGTAAATGTCACTTATGGCAGTGTGCAAATATGCCATGAGTTTCGATCCGATTAATGAAGAAGCAGCCGAATGACAGAGTCATTCTGAAATCAAAACTCATTTCACAACTTTTTTTAATTTTCGCAAGTTTACTTTGAAAAAAATTGCATCAAGAAAAATTTAACGTAATTAATTATTATTAATTTGAATCTTCTGAATATGATGGTGTGGTTTATTTTGCGATTTTTTAAGTGTTTTAAAAGTTATTGTGTTTTTCTCTTACTATATACACTTGAGGCGAGATTTTATTAGCTTTATTCAATTTCCAATTATTATTTATAAAAGATTTTATTTTATATAACAAATTTGTGGCGATAAAGTCCAAACACAATTTCGATTCAATCAAATTGTCTAATCAAAGCGGCAATCTCTGAAAACTGCAAAAAAATGTTAATTGCACAGCCTCACAAAAAAAAAATTTTGTCTGGCGAATTAGACTAGTCACTTCTTACGTAATTTGGGTCGCTGAATCCGATTCCGGAATGCGAATTCACAAGTTGGTTCGTTTTTTCATTCTAATCTCAAAAAACTTACTTTTTCGTACATTTTGTGAGATAATGAAAAAGCGTGAGCTAGTTTTGAAATTATGACCATGGATTACAATTTAGAAGTGAAATTTAATTACCACTTAAGTAGATTTTTTAAATTAAAAATGGCGGATCCAATATGGTGGATATTTTATAAATTGTTCTGATTCGCTCGAAATTTGGTACTTCGGGGTTTTTTGGGTCTCTCATTACGACTTTGGCGTCAGTTTTAAGTCAATCTACCTTGAATTATATGACTTGAAAAAATGCGAGAAAAAATTACTAATCTTATATATTTGACATTTAAAATATATATGGGTGATTCTCCGCGTAGCGCACGACTTGGTGTCTGAAACTTTAAAAAATTTTTTTTATCAAAATGATAAATATCAATACATAATTTTGAAGATAAAGGGTCAAGAAATAAATATTCATGGTGGGCCGAAAAAATTGTTTATAATTTTTTAATTTTTTTAAACAAATTAAAAAAAAATTTTTTTTGCTTTTAACTTCTATAATATAGTTTAAATTTAATTTAAAATGTTTGCAATAAAAAAAGCAATTATTCAGAAAGATTTTCTACCAGAATTATTGCTAATAAATTATTTAAATTTGTTATAAACAAATATAACAATTAACAAATGCACTGTTTAGACATTTGTCGGCGTAAAAAGTTCGTTCCTTCAACAATACTTTTGGTTTAAAATAACTAATTTAAAATTACTCTTTTTTCAGCATTATCGTTTAAATAAAATAACATGTTTTTAATTTTTTTAAAGAATTCATAATATTTTATTAAATATTAGAATATAATATAGGTAACAATTTTTTAAAGTATTTAAAGTATCCATCACATTTAAAGTTATCGGAAAAATTAACTTACATTTATAAATTAAGCATTATTGCACTTCTTCTAAAATTGGTACAGACTGTGGAAATTCGTATATTACATTTTTACCGTTATTTTTTATCTTTGGCATTGGCAAAATCGACACGATTTGATCTAAAATTATTTTCATTTTTATATCCTCTTGAAAGTAACAAGCCCTTGTAATTTCTTGTGCAGTGCTTTTAAGTAGAAGTACTTTTATTTCATCAGCCTTACTAATTGTTCCTTGACAGACTGAAACAATTCGACGCTTCGCAAAATCCCTTAGTCCACCAAGTCGAACAAGACAACAAGTACCCTTTTCAATACAGTCACGATTATTGTTTTTTAACATTTCAGTAGAGTCTGCTTCATCGCTTGAGTAGACTTCCTCGTACTGAACTCTTTTTCGACTAGAAATATTATTAGAACACTTGTTACTTTTTCCTACATTTGATGAGAATTGACGCAAATCAATAGTGCCTAATTCATAATGAGAGCATCTTAAATTGCACTGAAAGCAACTAAGTTTTCTTAAACTCAAAATAGGCTGATTTGTATTTCCAATAACTTGATGCACCTGTAGAGTTCCAGAAAAGGTTTCAGTTTGACATTTTTCTACATAATCCAAGAAAACATCAAAATCTGATTCCTGTATTGGAAAAATAGTTATTTTTTTACAATTTGCTTGTAAATCAGCGTATTAAAATCGGCTACATCTTTTCCTTCAGCAACCAGACGATCGGCTGTTCGTTTACAAACTGCGCCAATTCCATCTGGAGCTCCTTTTCCATATCCAGATTCATGATAATTCCAGGAAAAGTCTTTTATGTTTTGACAAAATTCTTTTAATTTTCTACCTAGAAGGTAAAACATCGTTTTGTTCCTGTATTGTGTTGCTGGTCCATCACTCAAGAAATGCAGAGAAGTCACATCAGTTTTTTTAAAAACATCTTTCAATACTGGAAAGAGATGAGTCCAAATGCCTGCAACATTATGCAGCAATGACTCTGATAATGTACAGTAAGACAACGTTAAAAGTTCCTCTTCATTTCTAATGTACACTACTACGGTGTGTAAAGATATTTGTTTACGAGAACTACCGAAGTGGTGACTTTGAACCTCTTGGGCACATTTAGTTGTCCAGCTTTCACTCCAATCCATGTGAACCAATGCTTGTCCAATTGACAAGCTTTCTTTCAAAGTACGTAAAGTTTTATATTGAAACATTATAGTGCCTTCGTGTTTTAGGAATTTTGGAAGACTTTTTTCAAATTCTTTTATCATGTCTTCAGAAGAGCATTCAATTTTATGTTTTGTCATTTTTGAGCACACTTTGTTTTTTCCAGTTTTTTTTATCAACGTATGATTCCTTAGCCTGCATCCATTTCCAGTAAAATATAGAACCAGTTGCAACATTGTCTTTATATGAAACTTTCTTTTCTTTGCAAATTAAACACTGTCTAAGTCAACAGATTTCATTTTTGTTACAACAAACAATATTGATAACATCATTACACGTTTTAGCTTCAAGAATGTTCAATTTAAACAATGCATTTATTAATAATTCTATATTTTCATGAATTATGCATTTGCATGTTTCTCGATCTGAAACTTTCATGAACTTTACCCAAAATGGCCTAAATTTACAAAATTGCGGATAGGATACATGTCAGTCAGGAAACATTTTCTCAAACTTCGAGTGCAAATTTTTCATAGTATCGGTTAAAAAACGCTTTTGTTTAGTAATATTCCCTTTTCGAACAAATTCTTTCTTACCTGGACACATACGTGAATGGTCATCCATTTCGAAAAACTGTTGAATAACCACTTGTACTTTAAAGTTCTTTGCATTTCGAGGTACCCAAGAAGCACGTAATATATCCTCAATATCAAGGTAATATTACACGTGAGATTCGTAATATAACGCTGTAATATTACAGTAATCTTACAGTGATCTTAAAATGTCCGCCTCAAGGTAATATTACCGGGAATATTACTGTAATATTTACGGTAATATTACAGTAATATTACAGACTGAATTGATTTATTCATAAAGCATAAAAAACATAAATATATTATAAGTCAATTTGGCTTGTTTGTAAAACTCTGGACTCGTGTGCTTTGAGTTCAGGGTTCGATTCCCTGGATGGGTAGATTTTTTTCGTAAAGAAATGTTCCCATAATATTACTGTAATATTCTCTTGTAATATTACCTTAATATTACGGTATAATATTATTGCAATATTACTGTAATATTACCTTAATATTAGCGCGTAATATTACAGTAACATTACCGGTAATATTACAACGTTATATTACGAATCTTACATGTAATATTACCTTGATATTGAGGTTATATTACGTGCTTCTTGGGTACATATTTCAAAGGTGAAGCTTTGAAGTTTTCGGCAAGTTTCACACGCCTTGCTTTCAAAATTTTTTGAAATTTTCTTTGCATCCGGTATTTTTTAATAATTTTTCTTGAAATTAAGTTTGTGAAAATCTGTTTTTCTTTATTT